AACCTGCAGTTCCTTCTTTTAGGTTGGACTATATAAGGAAGGCTAAAAACTGACAGGAAGACTCTTCTTTCAGTAATAGCATAGATGATCTGCTGTATAGATTCCTTTTTAGTTAATACAAATTGCATAACGTTGCAGTATGAAAAGTGATAGCTATACCTTAGTTCTTATTTTATAAATTTTACTGAAGAATATAATGTGTGTGATTCTCTTTTAATCCAGCAAGTCCTGTATGAGCTGGCAAATGATTCAAAGCTTGTGTATCACTGTGGATTGACACCAAGAAAGCTGCCAGTACGTGTTTTTGTAATCTTTTTGATGGATCATTGACCATGTTGGGTCTTGATGTTTCATTCTCATTTTTTTTTATCAGGAACTGGTAGAAAACAATCCCCTTATTGCAGTTGATGTTCTCACTAAGTTGATAAATTCTCAGGAAATAGCAGAGTATGCATTTTACCTCTTTTATATTTTTCTGTCATTTAGCATATAAATTACTCAATTGCTGTTATTTTCTTTATTTCTATTTGCTTATTTATGGATACAGATACTTTACAGTACTTGTCAACATGGACATGAGTCTACATTCAATGGAAGTTGTGAACAGGCTTACAACAGCAGTTGAACTCCCGTCAGAATTCATTCATCTGTACATAAATAATTGTATAACATCCTGCGTGAACATCAAGGTACTTTACCTTTTTTTGCCACAAGCTTTTATTTTCTTATAAACAAGTGTTTTTCACCAAAAGATTATGCTTCTGTATTAATAGTTACTGCTGTCCCATTACATATACTGTAGATAAATTCATATACTGTGTGATATTTCATTCATGTATGGAGGTGGCATGGTAAACATAAAGACAATAAGATTATTTGATCTAATGACCAAAAAGAAAAAGATTATTTGATCTTAAGGGAGGGTGTTATCTCTGAAATTTGACTACAATGACCAATAATCTTGCGGAATCATAAAGTGCTTTCTAAATAGCACTTTGACTTCACTACAACATTCTTTGATGCAAATCACTGCAACATTCTTTGCACTGGATGGTAATGTGTCCATGTGAATGCATGATGCATACATGCACATACATTTGCGCTTATAGGTGTAATTGTGCCTTTATCTAATAACCTGCATATGTATGCTAGAGTACCATCTTTTTCCACAAATCCAAAAAGTCATTCCAAGGCAATGATTGCAATAATGGATATTAATTTGGTTGTTGGATTTTATATCCATGTTACTATTGGGGATTAAATGATGCCAATAATGGTCCAAACTCCACAAAAACAAGTTATATTTTACATTATCTGACACTTTTAGGTTTTAAGTGCTTTACCTAGACATGGCATCTTATTCTCTTTTTTATAACATATACCAGATCCTTTGTTAAGATGTTTTGAGAGCTCTACCTTGTTTTCATATGGCACTTGAAAAGCTGGACCTGTGTGGAGGTTTATATCACCTGGTAAAAGTTGCCAGTGTATATTTTCTGTTTGAACATAGCTCATTGCTGATGTTTTTCTACTGCTAAGGTTTATGGTTGCTTTACGTATGCTCTTAAACTTTGGCTTGTGCCTAAGGCCTAATTCAACTCCAGAAGTTAGCTTGTAAGGAAATAATTGCCTTAGCTTTTATAACCTTAACTTTGGTCATATCTGTAGCTGATGTGAGGTCTCAATACACACCTCACACTCAAGATTGACATCTGAATTGTGAAAATTATGACTGAATTTTTTTCATTGCACCAGAAAAGTTACGGCCATGTAAATTGCACTAAGAAAATCTGTAGGGACAGGATTTTCTTTTTGTAGTTAAGGGTGACCCAATATTAGATTTACAATAAGCTCTGACTGACACCATCATAAATTTGGGCTTGGGCCTAATTCAATATCAAAAGCTAGTTTGTAAGAGAGAATTGCCTTAGCCATTATAAGCTCTATATTGGTCATATCTGTAATCTATGTAGGATCTCAACACATACATATATGTGTGTGTGCATGTGCATATATCCATACAAATAATATGGCTATAGAAAAATGTAAATTCAAAATGGTATTGGTAACTATTTCTCTCTTTGCACTTCACATGATGACTATGCTCTTTTTCATAATTAACATTTAAACTTCTACCTTTTTTTTTCAGGATAAATACATGCAGAACAGGCTTGTGAGACTTGTTTGTGTTTTTCTGCAAAGCCTAATTCGGAACAACATTATTAATGGTGAGTTTACCTAGTTTCTGCTGTAGCTTAAAAACTGTTGTATTTTTGTCTTAGTGCATCTATTACAGAAAGAGAGGAGAAGTTGCATTCATGTCCATCATTATCATTTTTATCCATTGAGGCAGACTGGTTATAATTATCATCTCATATCAAGTATTTCATTTTGTATTTGACATATTACAAGCCAGTTTAGACCTTGTTGAACTTGAATGTGTATAACTTGTATAACATAATTTTGCTGCTTGTAACGTTATTGTCTCAAAAGAATTTGGGTCACTAGAAAAGGGAAGAAAATAAGTTGAATTGTAGGTAATTGGTAAAGAGCTGGTTTTGCTCTGGACAAATTATGAGTGGTGACAAGTATGAAGGTGTGGAAATAGCATAGTGGAACGTGTTCAGAATTTGTTTGAAGTGTATAGACAATATTGTACATAAGTTCTTTGTTGAAGGCACATAATTGAAGGTTTTATGATTTTGCATTCTTTTGTGAACATACCTAGAAATATTTCTGTTAAATTACCTTTAATGCACTCCTGAATATGTAAGCTAGTATAAAATTAATTGGGTGATGAATCTCCAATGAGGTTTTGTTTGAGCTACCTGCTTATCACATTCAAATAGTACATATGGCTAACTGATGAGCCATTATTAGAAAATCGTTTTATTGGATCACAATTTGCAACTACATGTGTGTTCCCTGTGTCTGTGTTCACAGATATTTTACTATTTCAGGCAGACATTTACATGTGTGTTCCCTGTGTCTGTGTCTAGAGAGAGACTGCCGTGCAGTCTTACATTTTTCATGTTCTATATTTTGTCTTTTTACATGGATTAGTTCTTTAGAGGATTTCTTTTTCGAATCTCCTTTTTTTATAAATTCTGTTAATTGCAAAAAAAATATATTGAGAGATGGTTTTGCTTGGTGTTGGGGTGGGGGTGGGGGGGGGGGGGGTGGGAGAGGGGAGGTTGTGTTCCAACTACTAGTTCAGAATTATCGGTCTACTTATTGTGTACTTTGGCCGGCTATGGATATAATTTTGTATATTTACTTCCATATAAAAGGAGGAAAGTAAATACGGCAGCATGTTCACTGATATTTAGCAAATGACCCCAACTTGCAGTTAAAGATCTCTTCATTGAAGTTCAAGCGTTTTGCATCGAGTTTTCGCGGATTAGAGAGGCAGCTGCATTATTTAGGCTTCTCAAGTCATTGGAATGATTGTTGTTTTAGCCTGTTAAATTTTCCCCCTTCCATGCCCTAACCTTCCAAGACTTTTCTGTAGATATGTATCTACCTAGAGCTAGGTAGCGTTTTGTACTCATTTTCATTTTATGGGCAATAAAGATCATAGTTTGTTGTCACATGCGCAGTTATTCTCTTAAAGCTTTAGTGTTATTTGCTATAATTGTACCGGGCTATATTGTTAGATGTTCAAGGAGAACAGGTTCGAATAGAGAATTAACAGTGTAATTGAACATCACAACTATTCCCTTCCCGAAATTCCCCTACCGGGGTTGTCCTTGTTTCTTTTACTAAGCTAGTTGGGTCGAATATCAAATCTTCAAATGCAGATTTATATATCTTGAATTTTTGTTTTTAAAATGGAAGGATTATGACTCTCGGAAACTGCAATAGACCTTGGTCAAGTTACCCGGACACTCATTAACTACCTCAACAACTCATAAGTTGGACAAATAAATGTGTAACCCCAACTAATCTGAAGCAATGCTTCAGAAGCATCATATTCGTGATCCAGAATTTGAGGCTACGAAACTCATCCATACTACTAAACACTTAATATTTAAGCAAAAGAAATTTCAGCAATTAATGTGATGTTGGACAGAGAAAGGGAAATGAAACGGCTAGTTTAGGTGGAGCACAATAGTCGACACTTCATAATACACGCTTCACTATTTTGCTGTTTAGGTTATCGAGTCCTGACATATTCCGTGAATAGCATTAAAGTCAGTAGGTGATGGCATGGTTATTTGATTTTGACAATTTTGTAAAGAATTAAAATTGAATTTTTTAATTAAAAATGACAAAAAGGAGTGTGCAAGTAATGTTTTCTAAATAAATAAATAAATTATATTTTTAATTAATAATTTAATATAAGATATTTTTGCAATTTTTATATTTTAAGAATATTTTTATTTAAAAAATAAAGAAATTAGATTTCTAAATTTTTTTTTCATATTTTTAAATGTGATAAAGTATCGCAATGCACACTTTTAAAAGTAAGAGTTTAGATTGTATATAACCAAAAATAAAAAGGAAGTAAAATACACTTTTCCTTTATTTAATATAAAAATAGAAAAATTAATCATTTAATAGTGTAAATTTTTTAAAATATAATATAAATTTAGGATATATAAATATTTTTTATTATCATGATAAATTACTTTTTTCCTTGTAAAAGTTTAACATAGAATATGAAAAAAAAATATGCGATAGCACCAAAGATAATATTATTTAAACAAAAAACTATCATAAAATATAATATTTAATATAATTATATTTATCTTTTACTTTTCTATTTTTTAAGTTTTTATAAGTGTGTCTTTGGTGGACGCACAATAAAAGTTTATAATATCTTTTTATTAAAAAATTTAATATATTGATAACATTAACTGTTATATATATATTATACTAATAATTAATTTCTAAACTTACCGTTAGACATACATTTGAAAAAAAAAATTTATATGTATACAAACATTTTTAAAATATACCTAAAAATGGAAAAGAGACAAGTTTTTCTTCTTTGTTGAACAAAGAAGATGGAACTTTACATTAACCACGGCAAGTTGCATGAAAATAAAACGAAACAAATAAATTGAAGGCACTTTGGGAAGTACAAAAAGTTAGAAGCCCCTCAATCATGACATTAAGATATGTTCTGGAATAATTGTACAAAGAAGAATGAAAAAAAGAAAGGGCAAAAAATAACAAGGAAATTGAACCATGATCTCTCGTGTACTAGATACCTATAATAATTAAAACTGTGATGTGATTAAACCTTGATCCCTTATTTATATGATCACCACCTCATCAAATTAATAAACAGAATGAGATACTGCTAAAACCATCTAGCAACTATCCTATTGCAACAGTAGCTTTGCCATGAACATAATCACCATGACCAGCCAAAGTGAACTTCCATGTAGAATCGAGCTAGCTGATAAACCCAAAATATTAAATAACAAATAAGAGAAAGGAATTATTACACAAACAAGGTGTTATGATTAAGATTATATACTTTTATAACATGCCTACAACAATCTACAATAAATAGCTTGAAAGGTTAATTAATTTTTTAAAAAAATGTCCTGATTGCAATTTGGCTAGAATACACTGCCATGGTAAAAAAAAATTTATACTGTCCTTAAATCAATATACTATCTTTGTTACTTTTTATCTATCTATTTATTGAGAGAAAGAAGAAATTACATACACGAAAAGAATTCAATTATTTTGTTGAAATTAATTGCTAAATTTATTAATAATTTTTTTTTCGACGCTGAAACTACTCAAATAATGGAAATTTTATTAATGGAAGAATAACAATAGTTAATCTACATAGATAAATAGAAACAAATTTCCTTCTCTCTCTCGAAGAAATAAATAGGAACAAATGTTACTAAAAATTATTTAGTTTTATAATAATTGCTTTAAATGTTACATCTAGAGTAATTTCAAATTGATTGATATGGTAAAAAAATTTACATTAATATTAAATTCAAAATAAAATAAAAATTATCTTCCCAGCTGTTAGGTAGATTTATTATTGAATCCCAGTCCAGTTTCTCGAGATTTTAGTAATAACAAGTAACCACATATAACAAGTTCTAAATGAAGACCAACTTGTGCAACTAAAACTAGTTTGATGATCAAAGATAAGAACAACACCAAATGCTGAGTTAGCCATAGAGTTGTGCCTTACCCTCATTCTTACTGTCGTCATTCAATGATGGTGGTGCAGATGTAGATGAGTTGCTCATTGATATTCCAAGTTCAGAGCAACCCATGCCAAGAGAACCTTGAACACAAATTTCAAATCTCAAATAAGTAGTTATCTTCAACTAGCTACTTCGGCGCACAATGTGAAAATAGATCATAACATTTGCTTACATCTAACATCAACCTTAAAACAAATGACATTAACTATTGAGTAAGGTTTGTAATCTTACATTCTTTGAAGCAAGGGAAGGCAGTGACATTAAGGATGTTGTAATAGCCAGCATCACATTCACACTTATAGGAGAACATGGATGTCTTGTTACATGAGCCACCGCCACAATCAATCCAATGGCAAGCTACAAGAACACACCAACAAAATGTTATATATCTCAAAAAACATCAATTTGAAATATGAGATGCTTATAGCTATATCTTTCAATTACCATCAAAGATCGACTCATTGGATTTTGCTGCTTTTTCTTGAATAGGGGCAGGGGCTTTGGAGCAAGAGTAGTCCAATGTGCCTACAAATGATGTCATGCAAATCTTTCAGCATCTGAGAAAATGAAATACTTTTAAATAGTCACAAAGAAAATTATGAGCTTTTCAATATAATCATAATTCAAATCTTAATAATCTTGTGTGATTTAGACACTTCCACACAGCAGAAAATTCCACAAAATACCGTAGACTAAAGAGACACCCAGAAGCAAATGTTTTGAGCCTTGGAAAATGAACATGTATGTTAGTATAGTGCTAGCATTTCATTAAAAAATTATTTTTCCTATTATAAGGCAGTGACAAGATTAAATCAACAGAGAACGGAATAATAACTCAATTTTTAAATTGTTTTTGGGACAAATAGAGTGTTATTTTCTTACAATTGGGAACTATGCAAGGGAGAAAGGTCAAGCCATCCTCATCCTTGGAAAGAGATTGCTTCCAACCCTGATCACACTCGCATTCAAAGAAGAAAGTGCTGTTCTTAGAGGCTTTGCATGTTCCTTTTCCACATTCCACTTCTTTGCAGACATCATCTGAACTCATCTCACATGAAAACATAAAAGCAAAAGCAATTCAGAATTCCACATACAATAAAGATTACTTAAAACATTTTTATTGGAATAAATATTAATTATTAAGAATATAAAAATATAATAAATATTTTTTAATAAATTAAGAGTTAATGTTAATAAGATCGGTAATAGAAAAAACAAAACTTGTGAAGACCCTCTATCTAGTAAAGGATTTGGATCAACACATTTTTTACCCCATGCAAGAGACAAATCTATTATCTTGTATTTAAGAACAAGAGAGACCCAAATCCTTAGATGAACACACAAGAAATCTCAAGCTGGGAACGAAAATCAACAAACAGAATGAATCACAACAAAGAAATCCAACAAAAGAGATTAAAGAGGAAAGAGTTACAAACCAAAGATGGGTGAAAGAATAGGTGAGAGGAGGTCACTTGTAGCTAAAAGGGGATGAAGAAGAAGAAGTGCAACAAGAGGCACAACACTTGCAAAGGCCATTTCTAACAGTCAAAAGAGAGGAAACAAGGGTGTGATACATGGGTACTTGTTGCGTTTATATAAGTGAGACATGGACATAGGTTGAAAATGAAACAATTTTGAATATACTAAGAAATAAATGTGGAACGTGGCTACAACGGAAATGGCAGTGTGGGTCGTTGGAAGTTGAGTATTTGCCTAATCTTCATGTTCCCTCTTACCAGTTGTGATATTCCACGTAATCTCATCCATTAAGATTTTTTGGTCATGCAACCGCCCAATGTGAATATCTGAAGGATGTTTCAGCAATAAGCATGGATACACATTGCAAAAAGTCAACCCCGTTTTCTTTCCTTGTATTTTTCGTTCACTTTCTTTTCTTTTTTTTTATTTGTCGTGACATATGTAAATATATAAAAGAAAATAAATAAATATAAGCTAATACTCTCGGTCTACCATATAAGCAAAAAATAACTAAATTATATTTATCAAAAGAATTAATTAATCTTATTTAATATTCTTAATTTTATCTGTAAAATAAACTTTGTTTTTATTACATCATTCATAATATTTATTACACACAAAAAATAAGTTATTTAAAAATAATCTAACCTCTTTATTAGCATTAAATTATTTTAGTTGATGATTTAATAAGTTTTTATGCTAAATGTCAATGTCAAAAGTGAAAAATAATTTTTGGAAAGAGATTTAAATAATGGGAACTTTTTTCATGCAAAATTTTTTCTTTTCATTTTGAAAGTTTTATATAATCATTTTCATATCTTGAAAATTAAAAAAGTCATTAAAAATATTTTAAATTAATAAAAATATTTTTAAAATGATATTATTAAATAGTGTGAAATTAATTAAAATTTACTTATATGTTATGCCATCATATCTTAGTTTATAATTGAGATCAAATAGAGATTAATTAATATTCTTACAACTTTATAACTTATTATAAAACGATACCTTATTTTTGAACATTGTTAAAAAAAATATTCCAAGAGTATTTTATTAGTTAAAAAATGAATAGATAAATTGTTTTATTAAAAATATGACATGATTGAATTAAAAATTAAAAAAGGTGGAATAATAACACTATTCCAAAAGAAATCTATCTTTGATGTGTAGATATTTATTAACATTCTCCGTATAAAACAAGAATAAATGAGTTACAGTTATTAATTCCTGAATTGATTGCTAAAACCATATGTCATAGCTCATTGAGATTCTCAGAACATCTTTAAGGAAATTCAATTTGCATCCTTCGTGAATTGATGTCCGTCATTTCATCTTTGATTTTCATACCCTCTTATTAATGATGAGTGGGGAAAAAATGGGCGTCCATGACTATACTCTTGCCTAAAGACCCAAAACATGATAGACTTGATATCAACCATCCTTCATTAATGCCTTTTTCCTGGGCACAATCAAAATCGAATGACTCGCCACCAAAAAATTTTAAAAAAAAATCGAATGACCAACGAGGTATTTTAATTCTTTCATTTATTAGATAAAAAAAATGTCTCATTTTATAATTTGAAGAGTTTAAATAGTTAATTTTTTTTAGGAATCAAAGGGTCTTTAGTTTTTCTTGTACCTGTAGTAAAATGTTAAGGGTAATCGCGATCCTTAAGGAATCACTAGTGAAAAATATTTGTTAAAAATTATGGATTTATTAATAGAACTGAATTAAAGGATTTAATATTAATAATTTTTTTAAAATAAAATATACATTATCTTGAAAATACAAAATAATAATAAATATTTAATATATTCAAAAAATACAATAAAAATTTAACAAATAATAAAGTTTTATTAAAAATTATAATATTCAATATTATCAATATTATTAATTAATATTAAAAATTTATAAAAATAAAAAGAAGAGAAGTTAAATCCGTTTGTTAAAGTAAGAATATAACCGTGTTTAGATTGAATAATTATGGATTAATTAACTCACCAATGATTAATAAAAGAACACTTAAATTAAAAAATATTAAGGCATATGTGGAATTAAAGCTGGGTAATAAATGGGTCAATATCAAGGTAGTTAAATTAGGATTCAAATTATGAATCTGTAAGACCTATTTTTTGAATCTTAAATTGAATTATATAATTCATATCAATAATTTAAAACATAAAAAATATAAATATAAGAACATTTTAACATAAAGAAACATTAAAACATCTATGTATTAACATTTTAAAGTTAAATAGTATATAGCTTACAATATAACATACACTTGTAAGTAAGTTAGATCCAAATCATAATAATTACTCATATTAACAAAAAAATAATAATGACTCAAATTCAACATATAACATTTCAAAAAGATAAACAAAAAAAGACAGTAAATTATTGTAGCAAAAGTTCAAATGGATAATGTATGATCATTCATCATCCTTAAGATTTTTGTTACTTAGTTCAAATGGATAATGGTAGCATAGAAAATTGGAAGCTCTCTAATATCCTCTATAACTAAATCAAGGCAATGGGCTATAGAAGGAGACCAAATTTTATGATTATATGAAAGCATTTGATCATCTTTTCTTGTGTTAAATATTAAGGGCAAGACGTGATAGAATGAAGAGTGAAAAGAAGAGAAGCAAAGTCCACAAAACCTGCAAGATTCGCCTGAGCGAGCTATTCTCGCTTGAGTGAGAATCTCTCCTAATCAAGAAGAGAAACTCCTAGAACTGTCAAGCGCCTCTGTATGAATCTCGCTTGAGCAAGAAGTGGTTCGCTTAATTTTGCATAGTCAAACTCACTCATTTATTCCTAGTATTTAGTAAATACTCACATGAATTCTAGCATAGTTTATCCAATTTTGCATGTCAAACTGGAAGTTGAATGAGATTTTTTTTATGTTATTTTGGCTGAAATTTAAGGATGGTGAGGACTAAACAAACTACTGGAATCAACCATAGACCCAAAGCTAAGAAGCAAAAGATAGGACCAAGCAGATCTGAACCAAGTTTTGACAAAGAGAGGTTCAGGGATGTGAGAGTTGAGAGATATGAAATCATCAAACAGTGGACCTTCATTGAGGAGAGAAGAGTGCAACTTCAACCAGGGGAATACCCAGAATTTAATGATGAAATTGATTAAAGAAGATGGAGGTTAATTGCTGAACTCATGCTCAAATTCGATCCAAAAGTAGTGTGAAAGTTTTATGCCAATGCATGCCTCATTGAGTCAGGGAGAAGGCTTGAGATGAGCTCCTAGGTTAGAGGTAAATGGGTTTGTTATGATCGAGCTGCTATCAGCATATTTCTTAGGGATCCTCTAGTCCTAGGAGAAGGAGAGCTAGACACTTACCATAGAATGAAGAGGACAACCCAGGGTTTTAACAATAACATGACAACAACTCTCATATGCCTCCTCTACCACACTTATTAAAGAGCTAGGAATGGGAGACCAATTCATGCTGACCAACATCATCCCTAGTGGGCATGTTTCAGATTTGAATATGCCCAAATGTCATCTTCTATATTGCATTTTAGCTGGCTTGTCAGTAGACCTAGCTACAATTGTCTTGGAAGATATCAAATAGTTTGTTTATATAATGTCAAATTTGGACAACTCAAAGAGGGCTCTTGGATACCTTGCTTTTATTATAGTATTGTGCAGAAGCCAAGGTGTAGAGGTAAACCCCTCCAAGAGCATCTGGTCACCCATTGATAAAAGATTCATTGAGAAGAATTGTATTGCCAATGAGGCAACTGAGGCACCAGAGCATGATGTACCTCCACCATCACCTCCTCGAAATGCAGCTCAGCCACCACAGCATGAGGATGCAGCTCCATAGGACTAGCATGCACTGTATATGGCCCACTTTTAGCACTTGCATGAGCAGCAGGTTGTCAACCATAAAGGCCAGTAGTAGTTACAGTCTGACCTATACCAGATGGTCACTCACCCATAAAAGATCAGCTCTTTCAGCACCCCAGAGTAATTCGTAGCTTTGATTGCATGGCTTGGGGACAGGCCTATTCCATAGGGGGGAGCAGCTAAAGCTAGACAGTACAAAGATGCTGAGTATAGAGAAAGAAAGAAAGGATGACCAGCCTGCAGAGGGAGCTGGAGCTGATGTTGACACTGCAAATGTTCACACTATAAAGGAGGTGCAACAGATGGAGAGAGACTTGCAGCGAGTCATAGACAGAATAGTGGGAGAACTTTGATACACTACCACAGGCATTAGGTTTCATTAGTTTTATGTTTTAGTATTTTATATTTACAATTCATTTCATTGTTTGTAGCTTTCGTTTATTTACAGCTTTTTACATTTTGAGACTGATTTTGGTGTGTTGGTGTAGATCTTGGCAATTGGTTAGGATTTTGATTTTGAGCTTAAATTTTCAATTTCATTTAAATTCAAGTCGATTGCATGACTTGTGGATAATTGTTAATATTGCACAATGAATCTTATTTTGAAAAGAGAAAACAACTTTTTGGATTTATTTATTTTGAAATAGTACAGTGTGTAAATTTATTTATTTTTATAGAAAATACTATGGATGAAAGGAAATATACCCTTTACAATTTGAAACAAAATTTTTTTGTGCAATTTTCACTAAAAGGTTTTTGCGAATTTACATTTGAATTGCCAAAAATTGATGCTTGATGTTTGATTATGAGCATGAAATAATTCATTGAGAGTCTAATTTGTAAAAAGTATGGTTGAACTCAGGATGTGTTAGACAGTGCTTTGCATGATTTGGTTTTAAATTTTGTAATTGGAATAGTGAATTGACTTTATTTGGGGGATTGAGCCTTTGGTTGGTGAGTTGTATACATCCTATACAGTTAATTGAGTGTCATCACTTCTGAATTGCTACAATTATTGCTTAAATCTTTGTTCATCATCTTGTTGGCAAGTTTCTGAAATGATTAAGGCTATCTTTGTGACTCAAGCTAGGGCAAAAAAGCTAACTTTTAAATTTAATTATCACTTACACCTTATTTGAGCCTAAAAGAGATTGATGTTATTTTGAAAATTCCTTCCCAATACCTTAAAAGAAAAGCATTCTCATTCCCTTTCATTCAAAATTGTGAAAAAAACAGATAAATTTTTCAAAGGATTTAATGTATTCTAGTTAAAGCATAAACTAGTAATGTAAAAATTGTTCCTCTCCTTTGTTAAAGTGAAAATATCATTGCAAAATAA